TGTGTCCCACAGCGGAACCCCAAATTACATGTCCCAAGTGGAATTCATTTTCTCCTAATCTAATTTTTCTGTAAGGTGGTTTGATTGAAGGATGACTCCCAGATATCAGGGGTGGGTCATGCCCTGGATAATGGTGTCAACAGCCAGCAGCTTTTACCTCCCTGCACCCCTTGATGGGCCTCTCCTCAATGTCCTTTGACCCATTCCTTTCACCTGGGCTTCATGCACACTCACCTGGCCTTCCAGAACAGTCTCTTTAGGCTCCTCTCAGATAAGCGCACTGTCTGCATCATGAGGGCTGTGAGGTTGTATGGTGTTAAGACCCCAAGATTGTTGAAATAGTCTACCCTGACTTATTAAGTAGGTGTAAACAGGAAATGCATTTCAACTTTCAGTTCCATTTTTCTCCCTGACAGGTCAACAGCTGGAGAAGTTTTGTATTTGTATGTAGTTCAGCTGTGTCCCCTCATGCTTTACTTCCATGATACCAAATAGGGGAAATGTTTACAGTGTTCAGGTCCATTCACTACTGCTAAGTGATCATTCAAAGCCCACAAGTTATATCACTTATTTTTTAAAAAGTTATGAAAAATTCTGTTTCAAAGGTCAAAGTAAGCCCTGTGGGTTAAATGAAAGAAAAAAGAAATATAGCTAGAAAAGAAATTGGAAAGAGCTAAAATAATCCTATTTTCTTCTTGAATAAGATGAAATTTTTATCAGTTGGATACATTTTTTTCATGACAAGCTTAAATCATTTTCCCATTTCTTTCCACCAGCTTTTTGCTCTAGATTTGCATTATTTGAAGTGAAAAGCAAGCTTTGTACCTAAGGGAAATGTCTTTAAATCCAAATATTTAAAGCTTCACAGTGTACATACTCGTCAATTTAAAACTTTTAGGGAAATCCTCAATCATCAAAATATCCCTAAGCTTATACATTTTTCTAAGGCATTCAAGATAGCTTTCAAAGATGTTCGATTATAGTCTCAGAGTCTATCTGAGCCTTGATCTCCCTACTCCTGGGAATTCTTTTTTTTTTTACTCTTGCATTACTTTAAAAAAAAAGAGTTTATGTATTTATTTTTAGAGAGAGGGGAAGAGAGGGAGAAAAAGAAGGAGAGAAACATCCATGTGTGGTTGCTTCTTGTGCACCCCCTAACTGGGGACCTGGCCCGCAACCCAGGCATGTACCCTGACTGGGAATCAAACCGGCAATGCTTGGGTTCACTGGCTGGCACTCAATCCACTATGCCACAACAGCCAGCGCCCACTCTTGGGAATTCTAAGAACATCACCTTTCTTAACCAGCAACTAATATTCTGCAAGTACAACCTAATGACCCTGAGATAAAATGGAATCATGAAAGCTAAGCAGTGCTTCTGATTATTCTACAGGCTCCCTAACAATTCAGTGTTCAATACTAGGAATTATTCATTTGCTAGTTCTAATTCTTAACTAACTGTGCGTAAAACTACACAGTATGAAGAGTTAGAGTTTCTAAATGGTAGGAGACTATTTGGTAAATGACATTTGCTTTGAATACAAAATGATAACTCTATATATAGAATCTAATTAAAATGGGAAGGAGTAGTGTTAACATTTTTCTAAGCTTAAAACCTGATTAACTATAATCACTCTATGTATAGTAGAGATTTCTTTTCTATGGTTGAGGAAAGTATTTTCTGTGTTAAGGTTAAAATTTTAAAAACATGTAAAGAAAGAAATCAAGGAAAATATAACAATACTAATTAATATTTATAGTGTTAAATGTGTTATTTATATCATTTCCACTGCTATAGGAACAATACACATACACAAAGCCTGTCCAGAAAGTATCCATCCCTGCAATATGAAAAATAGGACATTCATTGAAGAAGATAAAAGATACAAGAAACATTGTACATAGGACAATGATGCTTCAGTCACCTTCAAAGTAGGCACCTTGGGAAGTCACACAGTTCTCCCAATAGTCATCAGCTGTTGTATTTTCCTGAATCTAACTGAAGGTCTGAAATCTCTTCCCTTTCAAAGACGACTTTAGTTGGGAAAAGCCAGAAGTTGCAGGGCACCAAATCTGGGCTGTAGTGGGGCTGAGTCATTTGGGTGATTTGATGTTTTGCCAAAAAGCTCTGCAGGAAATGTGATGCATGAGTAGGCGCATTGTTGTGATGAAGCTGCCAATCATCAGTTGCCCATAGATGCAGCCTTCTAAATCATCTGAATGGCTTCCAGGAAGAATGTTGAAGCTTAACGCAAAGTTTGATGCAGATTTGTTGCTCTACTCAGCCATCTTGAATGTGATGGCCACACAGTACACATGTTCACTCAGTGGTGTCTACTGCCCCCAGTGACTAGTACAGTGAAAACATCGCTGCTCATGCATGCACATTCCAGGCCACTCTCCTTGTCTGTCAGGTTACATCAATGTTGTGCGGGCGCATTCTCCTTATAGTAACAATGGCTGGACTTTTTCTGGACAAACCTTCATATTTACAAAATAACTAACATATTTTACAAAATAAACAAAAACTCTTGATTCTGCTGAAATTGTTCCAGGCTCCATTTGCCTTTCAAAGATTGATTGGCTTTTTCCTTTTTCAGAATTTTTATCTTAATGCATTTAGTTGTGGTCCTTCATGATATTATTTACCCAAAAAGGTAATCTTGCATTAAGGACTTTGGGTCTATTGGAAGTGGGGGACCAATTTTTATAGATTTCACATATATTTCTCAGCTTCTATACCATCTCTGTAATAGAGGTCACAAACTAAAGGTCCTGAGCCTTTCACTTTTAAAAAATTTAATGAGCCGCTAATATTAAAAGTTACTTTTTTAAATTTTTTTATATCCATAGTTTAACAAAAAATTTGGCCCGCTTATTAACAACAGGCCCAAATTTCCACAGGGCAGCAATCAACCCAGTAGTTGGCCAGCCCATCAAGCTGAAACGCCTCGCTGTCTTCATTGTCCCTCAGCTGCCAAGCTTAAGGTCAGTTGTCCCTCATTCCATTTACACAGTAGTTTGTCTTCCATCCACCCCAGGTTTCTCAAATTACCTACCAGCCAGTTTCCTGTGATATATGGGTTTGTAGCTCTGGTGCTTAGTTATAAATGTAATAATTAATAATAGAGATCACTTCCATAATACTCAGTAGAACCAGACACCTTCCTAAGTTCTTAACATGCATTAACTCATTTACTCTTCAGAACAAATTACCTAAACACTCTTAGTATCTAATTTTACAGATTAGGACACTGAGACACAAAGGAATTGAGAAATCATCCAAGACACCACAAATTTGGTCTGTAGGACCATCAGGCTCACAGACCGGTATTAGGCTTGAGTTCTCCACAATTACATTGACAATCGCCTTCCATGTATATTCATTGTCTCCATAAGAGATTGTCTAATGAGTGCTAATTTTTTCTTTGAAATACTTAAAAAGCAAAATCTTAGTCCAGATTGGTCCTTAGATAGCATTTTATTTTATTTAAGTCCATGGCACTTGATTAGACAAGCTGCCCCATATCTAACGAAGACTTCTTTGTTGTCTTCCGGAAACTGTTACTACAAATGAACTAGTATGAAGGCCCCTCTAGGGCTGTGCTCTGACAATGCAAAGCAATGGTCAAAGTTTCAGGAAACTGTCTTGTTAGTTTTGAAGGAGACGTATTTTGATATTTTCAAGCATAAAAATTAACAAAATGCTTAATAAAAATTACTAGGAAGTTGATGGACCATATATATGTCATTTACTATGCAACTAACAACCCGCCAACTTTACCTTCTCATTATCATTTTCATTTTATGATTACGATCACAGTGCTGATCTTCTTATCATTTCATATCTCACAATTACAGGAATCCAAGGCTACCTTCCTCAGCCCCAAAATGAACTTGAAAGAATGAAAGCAATTCTCTCTTCCATGGATGTAACATAATTTGCAAAAACTTTATCTTGGAGCAGTGAACTCTATGAAACAGCATATCCTCTCGCCTCAGCATTTTTACTTTTTTTCTCTTATGGGGTAAAGCTGGAAAATTATGATAATAAAAATTTTCAATTCACACATATTAATTAACTTAATCTAAATGTCAGTTCAGTGATACAGATTTACTTTCCCATAGTAAAAGACAAAGAAGTACCATCTGAACTCAGGCCCAATTGCTTTCTACAGTCTTGTATATTCTACCATCCCGTAATGCCTCCCAGGCACTGATAAGTTGTTAGTCATTGCTCAGTAAGGCTTCTATGTGCCCCATGTTCTACTGGACCATGGCTTTGGGAAACTGATACTGTTTTATGGGCTAGCAAGGGTGTCAAGCCTTTTGGCATCTCTGGGTCACACTGGTAAAAGAATAGTTGTCTTGGGCCACACATTAAATGCATAAACACTAAAGAAAAAGTGATGAGCAAAAAAAAAAAAGGTTTTAAGTAAATTTATGATTTTGTGTTGGGCAGCATTCATAGCCATCCTGGGCCACATGTGGCCTGCAGGCCAATGGTTGGATACCCCTGGTAGAGGCTGAGGACATCAACCACCTGGGAGGCACATGCAGGATAAAGCCCAACAATGAACAGAAGAAATGCAATTTGCCAGCACATGATAAAATCGGAATCAGACTCTGAACTTAATTCTTTCAAAATGGGACAGATACATGCTGACCCTATCAAGAGTTTGAAAGATTTGGGAGGAGAGAATGAAAGGGAGTAAAACTGAGAACCTAATCAAGAAAATTATTGAGGGAAGAATAAAGGTGAAAATTTTCAATGATGAATTTTGGAAGATGGTAGAAAAGAGAACTACACCTAGAGGAAATAAATTTATTTCAGCTCATCATTACACTCTATCAGGGTAGAACCAGGAAGTTCATTGAAAAGTGAAAAATCTCTTCCAATCATGCAAGCAGGGAGAGCATCAGGAATACTACGTTAAAAGAATGGCGCCCAGTCTCAGCAGAGGGTAGGAGCACACTGCTGAGCCTGGAGCTGCGTGGACTGCGGTCCGCTGTGGCACTTAAAAAATGTGATCCAGCATCAAGGGCACGCAGTGGACCGTGCTCTTCACGCAAAGGCACCGACTACGTCAGGGCAACACTCGCAGCACCACAAGGAAAGGAGAAAGCAAATGGTCCAGCAAAGGAGTCTGGGCTTCATCGCCGCTGAAGCGAAGCAGCAGGAGGAAGAGCAGCCGCAGCGTTGGCGGCGGTGGTTGCTGCTGGGCTGAGCGGAGTTTGGGAGCCCGAGCTAGTGCGTCTCCCTGGGAAAACCCTGCGCCTTCCCAGTCCAGGATCACACTGCAGGGCAGAAGGCGCCGGGCGGCTTTAGGGAGCGCTGGACTCCCGAGGATCGGAAGCTTGTCAGTGCAAAGCCTGTTTCTGAAACACACGTACTCGTTAGGCAGCATAATGCAAACAGAAACTTTTCCAAAGTTGCTTCCGCTGCACATTTTATGGAATCCCTGGCCCCTTAGCCCCTAGCTGTCCTTTTGAAGGTCAAGTCGATTAATTACTTGAGAAAGTTTTTCTTTTTATCTGGTAACATTACCAAATGCTAAGTGGCAGGCACAGTTCTAATTAGTTGAAGTAGGGGCACATATTCCTTCCCTACTCCAAAATATGCTCTCAGAAAATGGTTTCATCCCTCCTGTATATTCTGCTCCTGAAACCCAAAGCATTTCACTCATGTAGGATTCAAAATAGCTACGTCTAATTTCTTCGTTTAATGTTTAAAACGATGTTTAAAACACCAACTCATATACCTGTGTGTAGAGGAAATAAACTGATAGGCAAACACGTGCTAAATTTACAAAGTAGAACCAGGCTAAGCCACCTCTGGACTCGGGGGGCAGCACCGTTGGCCTGAGTCTTTAGTTTTTCAGGAGTAGCTTTGGCTACATTTCACTGAGGTGAGAGGCCCCTCTTTTGAGGACACGCGAGTGAAAATAGCAGACTTCTTGAGGAAATATGCCTTGCAGTTAAACTCATATTTTTTGGTCACCTTGTAAGCATGTATTTAAGAAATGTTTCTGGTTTTATCTTTAAAAATTGAAAATTTCTAACAAATCTTATCCTAAACTAGCACTTTAAAAAATGTAAGAATAGAACAACAAATTAAAACTTGAATGGTCCAGTTTAGACGACAATCCCAGATGAGCAGAGTGGGAGATGAATCTACTGAGTGGAGAGTTAGTTTGTGAAATTTTACCAACCTCATCAGAAAAATAAATTCATTGGCCTCCCTCCAGTAATTTTCTTGTCACTTTATATTCTACTTCATTTTATAGGTGAATACTGCCCTCTTTTGGCAAACTGTTCAAACTTAGATATGTGGCAGTTTTGATTAAAATGTGAAAATCAGAAGAAAAAAATAATCTCCATGAACAGGAATGATTTATGTTAAAATAAATTAAACTTCAAGTATTCTTGACATTGTTCCTGTCTTTTATTGTCTAAATACAGAAATATAAACCAATAAAGCCAATTTCCTCCTTTCAGTTGCACTCCTACAATTACTATGTATGCACTTGCTAATGTTTGCAGTTTGGAAGGACTGGGACAAGACATCCCAACTGGTGTTGTGTTTTTAGTTTGAAATGTAATAAGTATTGTATTCATAAAGCATTTTTCCAGAATGAAAGACTAAAAACTTTCTACTTTAGGAACATAAGCTGACATTCAATGAGAAAAAAAATCAGCTCACCTACTGTGGGTATATATAGGGTAAGAAGTATAAGGAACAGCAAACTGCACTAATGATACAGCTGCTGTGGAGACTGTAGGTTCTTTCCTCAATGCCTTCAGAAAACTCTCTAGCAGAAAGCTACTACATGTGCTAGATAAGATATTATAAACATTTTTAAATGTGTCAACATGCTGAGTGAGGAAGTTAGTAAGAAATAGAGGTTTTCGGTCTGTCTGTTCTGTCCTCCCAGCAACTAATGCCATGTGCTACACACACAGGGCTGCCTCTTGTTCTCTTCCCTTGGCTCCATGTACCTCTGGCTGCAAGGATGTGGGGCCTGCTCACCTGAGTCCAGGAGGCCCGGCCCCTGAACCTCTGGTCCAGCTCTCAGGTGGCACTCGCCTGTACACAGCCATGTCTGCCAAAGGCCCACCTGCCAAAGGGTTCACGTGCAGTTCACGGGAAGACCTGAAAGGAACTCTGGTCTGTGCTCAGGACTCAGAACCCTGCTGGTCAAGGGTCCACAGCCCTTGACCTAGCAGGAAGCCAGGCAAGCGAGCACTGCAGAGAGGCCCTCGGGCAGCCCTCCCAGAGCACAGACGTTGAAGGTCCCCCCCCCTTTTATTGATGCCCACACACCTAACTGTTATGAGGTTGTATGTAGCATGAACACTTTGTAATATTAATTAAGTGTATGACAATTCAAATACACACACACACACAAAGAGTCGAAAATTGAAATGAAAGTGAGAAGTCAACAAATTTAAGTAAACACCAAAGTCTAGTTCAGCTTGAGAATGTTTGCGTAACCAAGTGAAATTAACTTCAGATTTCGGGGTAGCAGAGGTCCAGGAAGGAGAAGAAAAAGCTCTTTCCTAAATGTAGAGTCTTAATTAGAAAATCTGCATTTCCATCAAGTTCCTTAAGAATGAGTGAAAAATAAGCCACCTTACCCTTCCCCACAACCACCCAGAGAAATACAAGGGAAATTGCCTATTTCAAAATTTGCTGTAAGGGATTAAAATCTCCCTGGAGATGGAATATCCCCAAATTAGTTGTCACATGGATTTTCAGGCCACTCTACCTGAGTTGTGTATAAACCTTAAACCAAGGATTTAAAGAGGTCATGAGCTAGCAGTGCTTTTGGCAAAAACAACCCAGGCCTCTAATAGTCCTCGCAGATCAAGTTCTGCAATACAAGCTCTGTCCAAACCCACAAAATACAAGGGAAACAGAGTTGTGAAAGCTAGCCATCAGAAACATCATGAGCAGGAGCCCACCTTAGAAGGTTCTATATATTTAGAAAATTGAATGTATTAATAAAGAGGAAAAATTATAAAAAACAACCAAGCAGATTTGAGAAAGCAGAACTAGAAATGGTCAGGTGGTAAAGGTCAAATATCATATGATCTCACCTATAAGTGGAATCTAATGAAGAAAACAAACAAATGAGCAAAACAGAAGTAGAGACATGGACATCAGGGAAAAACTGACAGTGACCAGAGGGAAGGAGGGAACAGGATAACAGGGGAAAGAAGGGGAAGTGTCTAGTCAAGGAACATGTAAAAGACCCATGGTAATGGACAGCAGGGCGGGGCTTGATGAGGGAAGGGGGCGGAGCAGGAGAGAGCAATGAGAGGAAATGTGGACAACTGTAATTGAACAATAAAAAAAGTAAAATAAAATTTAACAGTCATTAACACTCAATGTAATGGTTTAACAGCAAATTTAAAGCAATTGAAGGGAGAAATAGAGATTGAAAAATATACAAAGTCTACAGGAAAAGTCCCATCATCGTAAATATAACAAGAATGGTCTGTGCAACATTGACATAACCTGGCAGCCAAGGAGAGTGGACTGGAGTGTGCGTGCATGAACAATGACAACTTCACTGTACGAGTCGGTGTGGGTGGTAAATGCCATTGACTGACCATGTGTACTGTGTGGCTATTGCATTCAAAATCACTGAGTAGAGCAACAAATCTGCATCAAACTTTGCATCAAGCTTCAACATTCCTCCTGGAAGCTAATCAGATGATTCAGAAGGCTGCATGGGCACCTGGTGATTGGCAGCTTCACCACAACAACGTGCCCACTCATATATTACATCTGCAGTTTTTTTGGCAAAACATCGAATCAGTGACTCAGGCCCCCTACAGTCCAGATTTGGCACCCTGAAACTTCTGGCTTTTCCCAAAACTAAAATCACCTTTGAAAGGGAGGAGATTTCAGACCTTCAGTTAGATTCAGGAAAATACAACAGGGCAGCTGATGACTATTGGGAGAACTGTGTGATGTCCCAAGGTGCCTACTTTGAAGGGGACTAAAGCGCGTCATTTTCCTATGTACAATGCTTCTTGTATCTTTTATCTTCTTCGATGAATGTCTCTATTTTTCATACTACAGGAATGGACAAATTCTGGACAGACCTCATTGTATGTGAACAAATTATTTAGAATTCAATGCTGAGAGACAAAAAACTTGAGACAATATTTGTAAGGGGGAAAAGAAAGACCAAGGATTTCCAGAACTGCTGACAGAGACCAACCTGCATAGTTGTATCTGTATGACAAATAAAATACAAGGTAAGATAAATGAAAAAAAAAACATAACTAGGCACATTATATGAAACTAGAGATAATTAACAATGCCAAGACATGAACATTAAAAATGTCAAGACAAATTCTTTAAAGCAGAGATAAAAGCAGATAACCTTCAAAGGCATGGCTATCCATTGACTTTTCTAGCTACAATGGAAGCCAAAATGTAAACAAGTAACTCCACTGTTCAAGAGAAAATACTGTTAATCTGAACATATGTAACCACTGGAAATATTTTTCAAACAAAGCTAAAGGTTAACTACCAACAGTCTTTAATTTAAAAATAATCGAAAAAAAAAAAAAAAAAATTAAAAAAAAGAAAAAAATAAAAAAAAAAAAAAAAAAATGATATACTATAGGCAAAAGATTATTAGATGATATATGATTGAAGAAGGAATAATGAGCAGGAAAAAAGTGTAAATGTGGGAGTAAAGCTAATTAAGCAATCATTTGATAAATAGTAGTAATGAAGCTTAAAAAATTAGAAGTAAAACACATGATTCACTAACATATAATTTTGAGGTGATGACTTCGGGGGTAAAGTGTTCTAAAGTGCCGTGTATCACTTAGGAGGAAGAGAGGGGTGTGAACAACTTTAAACTTTGATAAGTTGGGTGGGTGTATTAAAACGTTGAGCATAACCAATTAAATAGCAAAAAAAAAGGAGTAAAAAGGGAGAAACAATAATCAATACTTAAAAATGGAGAAACAGAAACAGAAAAAGATGTATAACAAAATATTTTGTAGTAATATTTAAAATGGATGTATATGAATGGAATACTTCAGTAACCAGTGTTTGAATGGAATAATTCAAACACTGTCAAAAATATTTTAAGAAACTCAGCTATGTCATTAATGAGAAACACATCTAAAACATAAGGATACAGAAAAAATTG